GCTGCGGGGACAGCGTGGAGCCGGGTGCGGAGCTGTGGAGAAGCTGCCCGGAGCGCTGTGCCCTCTGCGGGGCAGGCGCCTGAAGGGAGGGCGGGCGGCCCCGGCTATAAGCACTTGGTTTCGGCCACCGTGGTACAGATCTCTGCGTAGTTGCTTTTTAAGGAAGGGAAGAGGTGGAGATGGGTTCTTTTATTTTGTGTGCTTTCTCGGGAGAGCGGCACTAGCTACCCTCGCGTTAGGTTTTGTTTCTCTGGGAAGGGCAGAGGAGAGAGACTTCGCTCCGTGCCTGTTGCCTGTGTGTGTTCACCTTTTCTGCGGGCTGGAGAGAATGAGAGATTTGACATCTGCCCGAGGCTAATTTCAAAATGCGACTCTTGATTTGAAAGCAGTTGCACACAAAGCACCCCTGAGGAAATGCAGCAATTGATTTTCAAAGCCTTATGTCACCTTTTAGGAAAGGACATTTGACTTATAAGTAGTTTCTTGTAATACTTTACATTTAAGGTTGTAGATCCAGACGTTTTGTGTACATGGCCTTCATTTTCTAGCTTTTTATTTCTAAATCACAAAAATCAAGAAACAACGCGAGTGAAAAGCAGTAGAAGTGCAGAAGGAGGAAACAGTTGTGAGCTTCGGTTTATTGGAACTGCCTTTGCTTTAAGAATTTCACATTCTTGTAGCAACAGTACTTACTTGGAAATTGGCCTTCTTCCCAGGACAGATTTTGATTTTTCTGTTGCGTGTACTGTGACAACGCCAATGAAGTTGGATCTCAGTAGATCAATTCCATTTGATAGATTTCCACCCCCACGTCCCTTTGGAAAGAGGACTTTGGCAGTAAAAGGAAAGGGGGATGGGGATCTAGTATCCTGTTTGGCCTGTCAAAGCTTTGTTGAGCCAGGAATAATAAAGTTATGCCTTTTAGCTTGTCCAAGTTTTACCCCCCATGTGAATTTTCTCATAGGAGTTTAAATGTAGGCCAAATTGGAATAACAGTACTTTTAATTCAGCTTGCTTGTGTAGTGACATTCTTATTTCTGTATCTTTTCCTCTTCTTGTGTTTGAAATTGCTTATTTATACGTTTAGCTAATCATAAAGTGCTCACTGCATGCCAGGATTGATGGCAAGCAAGGCTCACTTCTTTTCCAGAGTTGCTCAAGAGTCACAGAAGCTGATCCACACCTTGGTTCCACTAATTACTTGAATGTAATTTGAGCAAAGTGCTATAAGAACTTAAAAGGGCTCTTTTACCCAGAGTTTGTTAGAGAAGGCTTCATATAGTCACTCTTCAAATGTGAGATTTTTACCAGGTCCATTCTAAACGCATATATCTTTAGGGTGCTCCATTATGAAGTCTGGCTGAAGGATTTAGTGTCTGGGGTTGCAATCAAAGTGAGGGCTGATGTGTTATTCATTTCAAAGTACCTAGCACTTTGCCCTTCCTGCAGAGAGCACTCAAATATTTATTGAATTGACTTGAGCAGAAAAATGATTTTGTATACCACATTATGAAATGTGGACTTCAGTGATAACAGTGCTGCTAACTTTATTTATTTATTTATTTATTTATTTGTTTATTTATTTTATGTTTTTGTGTGTGGTACCTGGGATCGAACTCTGGTCCTTTGTGCTTGCAAGGCAGGCGGCAGAACCACTGAGCTAAATTCCCAGCCCCAAGCTGCTAATTTTAAACAGGAGACTGTCATAATATTTGCATTCCAGAAAGCATAGTGAAGGTCCAGAGAGACAAAGTAGTACACTTTTACATTGTAAGGGTTTCATGCTGAAGGATTCTCCAGATGATCTGGGTTGGAATCATGTTCTCAACTCAGCAGGAAACCATTTTTTCTTAGACTCTTCATCTCCTGATGTTGGGAGAATAAAACTTGAAAATAATGCGTATTTTTTAGAATAGCGCTTTGGTAGGTAGTAAGGACTTAATTAGGTAATGATAGTTGTCATTCTAGGTGAAGGTATCCGAAGGTGATTTGGCACTTAAGGAAGTATGAAACTGCCCTAGACAGTGACTAGGTAGGATTCTGCCTTGGGCTGTGGGAGTGTATGGTTAAATTGGCTGTGAAGTCAGAACAGGGTCGAATTCTAGTTTTATTAGCCATGGAATTACTATCCTGACTGAATTTGATTTCCTAACATTTAAGAAATTGTCATAGTACCTGTTTAGTAGGGTTTGAGGATCAAGTGAAATTATGCATGTAATGCCCTTGGCACAATACTTGGTACATTCCAAGTGTTCAGTAAATGTTAGTTGTTCCTTTAGTGATGATGACATTAGTCAGCTAGTGCAGTTGGAGGCTGTGAGAAGGACTGAAAGGGGGTTCGCGTGCCCTTTCGGGTGCCCCTTCCCAATTAGGCCACTCACGCACCGAGAGGTTGGGCAGGAGATCTTTATTGTAGGGAGGTGAGCAGGAGGCAGGAACGCAGAGAGAGAGAGAGAGAGAGAGAGAGAGAGAGAGAGAGAGAAGGAAGAAGCAGAAGGAGAGAGAAGAACAAAGAAAGGAAGGTCCTTTTATCAGTTTTGGGGTGGGCTATTGCTTATTTATGAGGAGTGAGCTACTTTTAATCTATCACAGGCCAGATTGCTTTTATGGGTCCAGTCCTGCAGAAACAGGTTTCAACTTTCCTGGAACACTGTGGCCTTGGTGGGGAGGGAAACCAGAGATAAGGGCATGAGGTCATTTTAGGAGCCAAGATGTACCAGGAGAATGCAGCCTGTGAGGCAGCGTCACAGCATACTTTAACATGATCAATTCCCTAACAAGGACTAGTTAGAAAACTGATGCTAGAGATAGAGGGAAGATGCTAAGTTCTTTCCGGAACCAACTCAGTGAGGTACTATATGAATGGTTGAGATGTTTTTGATGCAGTTGTTGGGTAGATGTAACTGAGAGAAGCTAGAAAAGGATGAGAAGGGAATGATGTTCACATAAAGCCTTTGTGGGTGGGGGCAAGCTTTATAGAAGATTTAGAGGGAAAGGGAGTTTGTAGTGTAATAATGGCAGAATTGTTGACATTGAACACCAGGTAGAACTCCATATTCCTACAATCTTGTTGGCTCTGTTCTACTCTCCTTTTCCTATTACTCTCCTTTCTGAATCACCTCCATCCAAATACTTTTTGTTGTACAGATTCTTTCTGCCCTGCTTCCAGGGCCACAGTTCATTCCAGACCTACCTTTGCGTATCCAAACCTAGCAAAGTTCCTAGGGGAATAAGAAGCCTCATTTCATGTATCTCATTCTGTTTAGGAAGCAGTCTGCTGCAGAAATTATTTATGTATTATTTGAATATAGAATTGTAGTTGTAGAAGACTTGGGACAGGCCTAAATCAAACCAATTAAAGGGTCTGTGAGTTTTATAAGACAAATATCCTTTAGTTTTTCTATCGTATGTTTCTTTCTTCAGAAAGTACCAATTGATAAAAAAATCTTGTTTACAAAAGTTTTTTTTTTTTTGAGTGAGTTTAGAAAAAAAAAAAAGGCTGTAAGCCTAATAAGACATTAAGAGGGATTAAAAAAACAAAATAAAAGAAATGCTCACGATAAAATAATAACTACTAGTTACTATGCTTTTTTCTTTTTTTCATTACATTCTAAGTGCTCAATAAATATTAGTTACTTCTTTAGTGATGATGACAGTGAGCTAGTGCAATGTTGGAGGGCTTTTAACACAGGACTTTGAAGATGCTGGACAAGATTCTACTACTATATATATCTCCAGCCCAGATAGAATGATTCCAGAAAACTACGTGTCATAGATCCTTTTAGAATGTTTGCTTCCAAGAGCATAGATCTGTTTTGCTCACTGCATAATCCAAAAATACCTAAGAAAAGAAATATTAATGTTTGCATAAGTGAATGAGTTGAATTTATTGACTTTGGTATGTCTTGGCCCACAGACCTTCAAATCTTTGGAACAATAATTGGTCTCAGGGAAAACAAAAGAGAAAATTGATCTAGCTAGAAGCTTAAGTACTTCATGTACTTATAAGAAGATGTAGGAACTATAATAGAATTGATGGCTATCATGATTCAACTGTTTTAGTGCCAGATGCTATATCTATTTGTCTAATTGTCTCCTCCCCCAACATTTTACTGCCATAATTGTGGGACGTGGTAAGAAGGAATGGACTTATACAGGGTTATAGCTTGGTTTAGAAGCAAACTGGCAACAACTGCGTCATAAATTTGTCCTCTTTTGATGATTAGCAAAACTACAGGGCAGAGTCCCTGAAGTCTTGATAAGGATAGCTGGAAAGCTGAGACAGAATAGAAATGTTGTGGGCAGATAAGGTTTAAGCATAGTTTAACCTTTATCTTCCCAGCCTAAAGATTTAGGACTGAATTCTGGCAGCCAGTATTCTTCGGTGGAGAAATTAAAATGGGGAAAAATGTTTTTTTCTTAATATTAGGCTGGGTAGGTGAAATGAGAAGTAGAAACAAATGTAGAGAATAGGAAATAGCAAGCACTACACTAGAAAAGTCATTGTATATCTACTTAGAAAGTGTATTGCCTTCACATGTAA